CCCCAGCCGGGCTGTCTCGGGTGAGGGAGAGCCGGGGCGCCTTGTCCTCCCACACAGGATGCTCCAGCTTCCATCTCGTCCCTCCGACTCTCCCCAAAAGCACCGTGTCCTCTCCCCCAGCCACGAGCTCTTCCCAGCCTGCGGGTATTCAGCTTTTCCCAGGGCAGACACCTGCTCAAGAGCTCCTATGTCTTGCCCAGACTCAGTTTCTCCATGTCTCGATCGGGGCATCGCCTTTACCTCCATGCAGGTGTGCGGGCGGCTGCAGAGACCCGGCTGACAGGGCCACAGTGGGGGCAGACCTGCAGGGAGCCAGTCCTTCAGGGTACAGTCCCACTTCGTTCCCACAGCAGCGGGATGAAGATCTGTTTATCAGACATGCCCACGGGTGAGATGAGCTGGCAAGGGGAGGACACGCAGCCTGCAGGTACCAGCCATGACCAACGCACTACCAGTGCTGCCGGGCAGCCCTAAACACCCCCAGGATTCATCCCAAGCACTGTGCTGGGACTGGGAAAAGCAGCAAACCCGGGACAGGACAATAGTCCAGGCCACGCTGTGTCCTGCAGCCACGCTCCCACTCTGGTCATCCACGTACATGGCTCCTCCCTGGGGGGAGGGTTAAATGTGCCCAGTCCAGTGGTCTCTGCCACAGGGAGAGGAGGAAACAGCAGCCACCATGTCCCCCCCATCCCCAGCCACCCCAGCAAGTACCCGCCTGAAAACCCTCCTGGAGCTTCCCGGCCCCTCTGCACCAAAACCCTCACCCACCCCCAAGCCCAGTGCTCGGCCCCGCAGCCAGAGCCCCCTCCCACCACACAGCCCTGCGCTGGGGGACTGAGCTGGGACAGCCGCAGGACAGTGCTCCAAGCCAGGGGGTGGCTGTTGCCTTGATTTAGGGGGTAAATCTGGGTGACTGCCACTGGTTCCCAGTGGTGATGGGGGTGTGGGGAGCAGAGGTTTAGCAGCAGATGTACAGGTGAGAAATACGTCCCGAGGGAGGAAGGAGGAGGAGGAGAAAAGGCTGGGGTGCCAATTAAGGGCCACCAGGGAGCTGGGTTAATTGAGACACTCCTGTGACCTGACCCGCTGACAGTGGCACGCAATAAGATGGGGACGAGTGCTGGCGAGAAACACCCGCTGTTCCATGCTGTGAGGGGTCTCGTCTCCACAATTTACGGGTGTCCTTGTTACCTCCCTGACTCTGTGCAAGGATTCCCCGGCTAAAACACCCCCCTCGGCTGGGAAAGCAGCTGTGACCCCATGAACCACCCTCATCCCCTCCCACTGTCACTCCCGGGAGCTCCCAGCCCACTTCTGGCTTGCTGCTGCCCCAGTCCCAGACACGGCACTGGGGCTGTCCCCGTGCCATGGGGTGCTCACGTGCCTCCTCTCCTCGAGGCACAGCACAAGCAGTGCTCAGGGCATGCAAAGAAACCTGGGAGGACTTGGAGAGGCAGAGCAGCGCGAAGAGCTGGTCTCAGCATGCATCATGCACAGAGTGATGGCATTTGCTAAGGCCAGGAGGATGGAGATGCTGTTGGGAGCCCCATGCTCTCTTGAGGGCTTCCCCTGAGCTGACGGCACGGTACTGTGCAGGTTCCCAGCAGAGCCCAGCTGCTCATGGTGTGGGCAGCAGCAGGACCCAGCCTGCCCCAAGGATCTTGTGTGGAGGGAGAGGACAGAGCTGGCCCCACTGCGATGGCAAAGCGCACATTGCCTCCTGCCTCGCTGCCCAGCTCCCCAGGGCCAGGCACTGGCAGACACAAGAAAACTACACGAGACCCCACACCAAAGGCAAGAAACACTCACAAAAAACCAGTATGAGGATTTCTGCAGGGCTGGAGAATGCGGCAGCAGGGAAGACCCACTGTGAGAGTCCATCCCCTTTTCCAAGATGAGACAGAAATCTCTCGGAGAGGACATGGCCTTCAGCGCTGCCTCTTGGCGTTTGCCCAGCACCATCTAGTCCAAACTAGAACAAAGTCCACGAGGAAGCAATAAGCTGCTCAAATAAACGTAGGCAAAGAGATGCATTGCTTAGCAGCCACCGACCCCTTTCCCTGCACCGGAGGAGAGAGAACTCGGCAGCATGGGCGCAGCAGACAGAGCTGTTCGCAGACAGAGCTGCTCGCAGACATCGCTGCAGCTTGAAAGGTCAGAGCAGTTTGCCGGCGCTGCCCTTTCGGAGTTGACAGAGCAGAAACGGAGACGGTCCAGCAGCCTCCCTGTCTCGCTGCCCCTCGGAGGAGAAGCCTTCATCGATCTGCCTTTGTAAATGCCAGCAGGGTGCTTTGGGCACGGGACAGGGAGTTTTGGACACATCAGCTGCGTGATGTTAACCAGGGGCTCGAGTTGTCTGCAAACAGTGGTGGCCTCCAGCAGAAACTCAGCAGTGCCCCTAGTGAAAGCCCTGCTCAGACTGCTGTCCCTGCTTTCTTGCACTTTGAAAGCCCATCCGACTCCATTCTCCAGCTGTGGGAAGGCTGTTTACCTGCCCAGGTAAGGCCTTTTCAAGCCTAGGTTTTCCTGGTCATATTCCTTATCCAACTTCAGTGGTCCCCAGAAGATCAGCCCCACAGCTCAGCAACCTCCCTGATGGTTTGGAGATTCCTGGCTGCCTCTACCAGCCAGGTGCACATCAGCAAAGCACTTAGGAGGCAAAGCTCCGGATGGGAAGATAACACTGGTGAGAAACAAAGAGTATCCCTTGGGGATGTAATAAATGTGTGTTCAAGCTCTCTTAGGGAAAAGCAAAGTGGCTGCTACTCACGTTCACTGCCAGGAGCTTGCTCGAAGAGCATCACATCCCTGTCCATCAGATGTCCTCAGCTGTTCCCACCAAGGAAGGACCAGCCAGCAAAGAGGACAGGCTGAGACCCCAGATTTCTGCAGCCTGTTAGTGGGTTACGTTAGATTCGCATGGCATGGTTGGCAGAGGCAGGATCTGATTTTCCTCTGCCAGTCTCCTCCTCCAGCAGCGCAGGTGCCTTCCTCCTGGGACAGTGTCCTGGGCAGGGCGTGCATTGCTGGTGAAGCAGCTTGAGCACTTGGGAAAGAGAAATCTTCCGCAGGCACAGCTACACAGACAGAGCACCAGGCTCTCGAGCCCAGGGGTGCCATCTCACTCCGACCGAACACCGTATCCTCTCCACACCCTCCCGGGCGCCAATGGGCAGGGCGTGCATTGCTGGTGAAGCAGCTTGAGCACTTGGGAAAGAGAAATCTTCCGCAGGCACAGCTACACAGACAGAGCACCAGGCTCTCGAGCCCAGGGGTGCCATCTCACTCCGACCGAACACCGTATCCTCTCCACACCCTCCCGGGCGCCAACAGGTCTGCCACACACGGGGCTGGGCAGAAACCAGTGGCAGCACTGCAGCACGTCTATCTGCTCAGGGCCTTTGTTGCCCTGGCCGTGCTGCCTCCTCTGGTGCGAGCTCGCCATCCTGACCCTCTTCAAACCGATGCAGCAACACTCAAGCGCTGAATTCATCCTAAACATTTTTTTCTGTAAGAAGTACACTAATTCTAGACTAGCAGGTCTAAACTGGCCGATTTCCCCTTTCCAAACCCTGGCTTATTGTACTCATAAAAGCGTGTATACGATATAATACAAAAAGCCTCAGAAGATTTCATTTTAAAGCTGCAGGCTGATCAAATGCTGTTAATTTGAACTTATGGTAAACATTACTTTCCTCCTTCATTTGAAGTGGAAATAAGGCACACATTTTTAAACAGAAAGGGTAATTAACCACTGAATCTATTTAAGATAAGCTGTCTGGTGTTCATTCTTTTCCAGTGGAAATTTACAATTGAGATGGCTTTTCTTTCTCACTCTCTTTAGTACTTGTGTTTTCGGATGCGATGCCACAATTCCTGGGAGAAGTTTTCCAGCCCATGCCCTGCAGCACAGCACTGTCCCAGTCCGAGAAATCTGGAATAAAGACTCTGATCCTCATCTTTAAACATCAAAGGGAAGCACTAGCTAAGGAACAGCTAGAAATAACCCACAAGGAGACCCTATTTCATGTAGGACTGGGCAGTACGTGTGCTGTTTGGGTACACACAGAGACCTGGGACTGCGAGTACGAAAGGTAAGTGATCTCATTTGTCTGTGCTGGCGGTCACATCTTGTGTAAATCAAGCTGCATCCTGCGTCACAGACTGATCTGAAACGATGGATGAAGCCTGTCACTGCAATTCCTCTTCCAAATCTATTATCCTATGGGAGGAAAGAGCAGGGAGGGAACAGAAAAGGTCAAAGTGGTGTAAATAAATATATAGATATAAAATGTACATACACATAAAAACCCCAAACCCTTGCCAAACAAAGCGCATGGCTGCTGGGAACCCTGTCACAAGGAGAGACGGGGATTGGAAGTGACAGGGATCCTGCTCCCAGCGCTTCAGAAAAGCAGGAGCCTTTGCAATCTCCACTCTCCTGCTGGCGCCCAAGAATGGAGCCAGCAGGGAGAGAGACGGCAGGAGTGTGGGGTTGGTTTGTTTTCTGACCACCCCAGGAGTCAGGATCTTAAAACCGTGGTGGCCTTTGTTTTAAAAGGGGCTGTTAAATAAACTGTAAAGATCCAAGGCTGCTATCTGAGGAGCGTTTTTAAGAGAAAGGTATTCTGAGGGCAAGGGTGCTTGCGTTAAAATTCGGGCGAGCCGTAAGCATGACAGCATCCCCAGCCATGGAGCTGCGTGGCGGTGCTGCGATATGTCAATTACTCACTCATTATTGAACAGCAGGATTCTGATTAGCTTATAAAACAAATTTGTGTTTCTCCTACCAGGATCTTGCAACAGTACCCAGAAAAACACAAAGTCTTTATAGCTTCTCCCCCTGACTTTTTTAATGGGCAGGATGGCTCCAGCTCTTCTGTGTCAGTCACATCCATTCTCTGGCTTATGGGGCAGATTCATTTGCCCCAGCCAGAGGCCATCAGCTACGAACGGAGAGTTTGTTAATTAAAAAGTATGCTGTGGTTTTAGGATTAAGTGTTTCTTCTGACTGCTAGAGCACTCTTTTCTGCTGCATTCATCAATGAGCAGCAGCTCTGAGGTGGGACCGGCTACCGCAGACTCCGTGTGTCCTGTGAAGCTGCATCTACCCCGGCTTTGGGGCAAAGCTGTCCACCTTAGGCTGCAACACTTCCAGGTGTCCACGCTGCAGACGTCGTGTACAGTGCACGTGTAGCAGCAGTGTGACTGACATACCTGGGGCTCAAGGAAGATACAGGCTTGGCATTTTGACAGTGACCTTCACCCCAAAAGGAAAACAGGAGAGATTCACAGCTTAATCTTTGTATTTAAGTTATTTTTCTGAACAGTTAAAAAAAAAAAACAAACCACACTGTTACCATGATCCTAGCTCAAGTGAACATTAGTACATTAACTACACATCACCGTAACATAATCACAAAATTCAAAGCACTCATTACTTAAGAATCCAGATAACAAATATAGCAGAGTAACAAACAAAACTCTGGAGAAACCATGTTCTTTCTCACCTCTCCCACTTGCACAGCCACCTCAGCCTGAGCAGGCAGGAGTGATGCAGCAAAGGCTGGCCTGGCAGGCATGCAGCTCTCCTAAACATAGCGATGTAAAGTGACTGGGAGAAACGGGATGTGTTACACTTTACTGAGGTCCACGTTATTCTTCTGCCATGCTAAAACTGCAGCTAGGCTGAGCCCTGCGATGCCTTGCATGATACAGACAAAGCAGCTGAAGGTACGCTCAAAAGCAGCTTCAGATTTTCACATTGAATTGCCCCCAAATTCTCACAGCTAGCTCCTTGTAAAAGCCACTGCAAACAGCCCGGGACAGGCTGGCCCACCTTCCTCCTGCACCTGGAGCTTTGCTCAGATGTAAGCCCGTGCTCGAGTGTCAGCAGATGAACGCACTCTGCCCGTAAAGGCAACAACTTGTCACTCATCGTACAGGTACGAGCAGAGCTGCTCTGTGATGAAGACTGGTATTTCACGCCGATTTTCTGGCCACAGCTGCCCTTGGCTCCTGCTTGAGCAGAAATCCGGATATCTTTTAGGGTGACAGGCTATTAAAAAAAGGGACCTATTTAGGAGTTGGCTACAATATCTATCGGCTTGTTGTACATCCACGTACATCAGCACCCCCCTGATTTGAGAATATCAGCGTAACATCACTAAGGATTAACAGGTGTTGCCAACTCCCACGGGATATCTGCTGGACAACAAATGTAGAAGCCCAGCTATCTTTGGGAACAAGCACAAAGTCATGGGAAGTGTGTTCTGACGTGACATGATGATTTCTCCTGTCAGCGTGCCAAGGCTCACCCTGGGAGAGACACTTTGGGAATCTTGCCTGTAGTTTGGCTACACCTCATTTCAAAAAAAAAGAAAAAAAAATGGGGTGAGGGGGAAAGGAGGGGCCGCCAAACGCTCAGCCTCAGCACCCAGCCGTTCCCCTCCACCCACTGCTGTGGCTGTGGAGAAGGAACGCACCCAAGTGACCTGCTGCTTCTGTGAGTCTCTGCATTCAAAGGGGGGACAGAAAGACCATGGCCTCCTCATATCAATCAATACGGTAGGGATTTGCTGGCAGGAGGATGGAGGGATTTCATGTGGAGACCTCCTCTGGGGACAGCTGGGTCACTTGCTGTTCATCCCTCCTTCTGGGAAACTGCTGCTCATTGCTTTGGGGGAACAACAGTAGGGCAAGGCTCAGCATGTCAGATGCATCATGCATGCCACTTGGAGACCCTGGCAAAGTTCATCCTTCTCTTGGCAAGTGTAGTTTAGACCACCCTTTTCTCCTCACACCCCCAGTGCAATCTAAAAGGGGCATTAACTGACATGTTCAACAGCTGGAGGCTTTACTTGATTACCTCCTGATGACTTTTTATGTTCCCACAGAAAACCTCCATTCTTCTGAGTCAACTACACAAGCCAAGAGATCTATTTTCAGCACTGTCCCCACTTCTGTAGAGATCCATCTCCATCCCCACACCCCCTCCTAGCTTTTCTATCACTTGGTTCGTCTCCTCCTTTTCCTCCCACAATTAAGAGCAAGCCTGCAGCAGGAAGGCTGGCTGCTCCTTCTCGTCTGCTTCTCTAGCTAGGAAGAGCTGCTCATTTGTGATTTACAAAACACAAATATTCCCCCCACCCCCAAGCGAATTTAGGAATCAGCTGACATAAAAGGAAGAGCTAAAATGGTGTTAAAGGAAGCTAACAAAGTTAGGCAAAGAGCCCAACCTGGAGATGTGCTTCCCATCAGAGCCGGGATGTCAAAAAACTCGGAACCAAACCCAGAGCTCTGCTCAGACTGAGAAAAGAACACATGGCAGGGGCAGAAAACACACACCTGGGAATGGAGAAATGCACATGATACTCTCCAGCTTTTTCAGTGTTCAAAAAAAATTAAGAGAAAGAAAAAAGGATCTTCTGGAGCAGGAGCAGGTGGCGGGTAGGTAGAGCATGGTGGTCCAAGACAGCTTCCAGTTTAGAAACAAGTGTAAAGCATTTCCATGTTTTTGATGATCACAGACTTCTCGTCACCTGAATCCTTCCATTCCAACAGCGGATGTGTCTGTCCCTGAATGTTAATGGGGATCAGAGGGACCTGCTCCAGACGAGACAGCCACAGAAGTTTTCTCACTGCAAATTCCTTCATGCCATTTTCTATTTGCATATTTTAAAGCAAGCTGTATTCCTCTGAGGATGAGAAATATTTGCAGCAAAACTGTGCCCTATTGCAAAAAAGTCACAAGCAGGAGATGGTGTGGCCATAATGGATTGTCCTGCTCTGAATGTCCCACACCTCCAGTACTTTCCATCCCATAGTCCAAGGGGGAAGGCTAGTGTGAGCTTCCTACTTGTGGGAGAAGTGCCGATCTCTATGCAGCAGAGGTATTTCATTTCATTTCAAACGGATGTGCAACACTTAAAGCCCACAGACTCTTCCAGCCCTTTTTTTACCTCCTTTCAGCAGGCACGTTCTAGTTCTTTTCATTATAAACTCTGTAATTACTCCAACCTGGCTGACGGATTATCCATCCAATTCATGCTGAAACCTGTTTCTCACATGCACGCTTGCACACTCACACACACACACACGGGGGGGGTGTGTGTTTGAAAAAGCCACTTTCTTCTGACATTGCGAGATCTACTTACCAGATTGCTCCTCCCTGGGTGCACAATAAGCACCACCAAATGTCAGGCTGTGGCAGTTTCAAGTTCAAGTTAGATCAGTTAACTTCAGTTTCCTTCCTAGCTATCAGAAAATTTGCACAACCTGGGGAGTGGGGTAGGAATCCTCGCTCTTCTGTGGTTCTGTATGAAGTACCCAGACACAGTCCCTCCTTGAGGGTAAGACACCATTCTTACCACGTGCCGAAAATGGATTTCAGCTGTTGCTCAATAACTGTACCTTAAACAGCTCTATACAGCAGAGTTCAAACTATGGTACCACTTGAAGACCCAAGAGCGTTCAGAAGTTACAGAATAGCAGCATGGAGAAGCAGGGCTATGACAACCAAGGACAATCAGCAATAGTGTTGTCTCTGTGTTTGGCCAGCCAGTCTTTCGGTTCTCCCAAATTCTCTCAACAAGCAAAATAAAATGCATCCTTGTACGTAGGTGCTGGCCACAAAGATGCAATTAAAATATTAGGCAGTTCTGCAGCCTTCAGAGGCTGGAGTAACAAATCATTGTTTTCTACAATAACCTAGACATAAAAGACAGAGGATGACCAAACTGAGGAAAACAACTATTAAATCTGCAGCCAAGGTCATATAAACCTCTGCTGATACGTAATCATGCTGCAGACCTTGTAGTAACTGAACTTAGAGGAACAGTGTTCAAATAACATTAAGAATAAGACTCAGAACTTCAACTCAGGAAAGTCTGGGATGTAAACTTTGATTCTCTCTGCTCCCTTGCCACTTCGGCTTTGGGACTGCAGTATGCCTGATATGTAGAGCTGCCTGAAATCCACAACAGCCTTCCTAGACTTAAAATTAGTGCCAAAATTAGTTGTGCATGAACTTATCACTGTGACTCAGAACTTTTATGACACTGCAGAGGCAAGTGACACTGTCAGTGTTAACTGAACAGAGTCTAATCGTTAACCTGTTTGACTCTTATACAGTAATAGTTCAAACAGAAAACTGGAGTGTCATCACACGCCCCGAGATGCTCTTTAGAACTGATGTAGTCTCTAAGCTCAATGAAAATACAGGGAGCTGATGCTCAACACTGCTGCCCATGTGCTTCAGGAACCACGCTAGGTACTCCCCAAGCACCAGCTTTCCCTTCCTCCATAACTTCGTCACCTTCGTCTGTCTTAGCCGTCACCAAAATGATTTAAGCCCTCTGGAGTGCTCTCTGGGGACTCATGGCCCAGCTCCTTGCAAAACTTCATTGGTGGAAAAAGCACATCCCAAGCAATTAGAAACAATGCAACTGCTTCCCCAGCAAAGTGAAGTTGATGAGAATAGCTTAAAAAAAATTCCCATCTGCCAAGTTCCAAGTTTAGAGGGTGCTAACAAAGCCGTTTAAAACCCCTCCAGCCCAGAGACGAAGGTCCGTGATTTCCTACCATGGGATTGGAGCAACTCCCCACTAAGGCAGCAGGGGTTATTCGAGACCTACAGTAGAAGATCTGAGCCCAAACCTGGAGTGGCCAGGGACTGATTTACACAGTCTTCCCTGATCTAAATGCAGGCCTGCTGCAATTCCTTCCAGCTCTGTAAAAAGAGCTATTTTCCCCTAGACCTCTCCGTCTCATTCAAAGACATGCAGAATTGTTTCTCATATCCCTCATCTTTAGGGCTATTTTTATCTTCTAAACAATGGCAATTTGCAAAAGCCTCAGCTAGAAAGCAAAGATCCAGTCCAGCTATCAGCAAAGGGACTAATCAGCCTGTGTCCCTAAACTGCAACGCAGCATGCACATAGGTTAGACAAGCACATCAAAGGCTCTCCCTCTGAAGGCCTTCTCGCAAGGCCAGCCCCAGAAATACTGCAGAACTGGCCTGGAGCCACTGCTAACTGTACTGACTGTACTCATGGCCATACTCATTTTACCCATCTGCTGTCACTAGCAGACTGTGCATTTGCTCCTTCAGGTGAGCAAAGTCTTATTGTCATGGCCAGAGTGTTGGTGTAGTATCTCCCCTCTCAGGTGGCTCGATCTTGAGAGCTCCACAAGGTTTTCAGCAGCTCAGTCTTCCAGCACCCAGCTACAGCCTCTCTGAGGGGAGATGGAATGGAAAGAAAGGAGCAATATCCAGCTTTCCTCCTCACCCCAGCCTCAAACTTCCTCCAATTTAGAGAATGATTCGTAAGCCATCAGCAACACACTGGCTTCAGGGAGAACAGCAGGAGGAAGATGGTACAGACAATCCCTTTGCTAGTGAAATACTGCCCTGGACCAATGTTTCACCCGGGGCAGGGGTGGACGGGATCTCAGCCGCAAGCCTATCATGCTTGGGACTTTGGCAGAAGAGTTTAACTTTTCATTGACTAGCATTCCCCAGCCAAGCAGATGTTAAGAGAGATTATAATACACATCCAGCTTCCAAAGGGTTAGCATAGCAGGCAGGAGAGGAAAGAGATGGATTTGGCTCATAATAGTCAAATTTCAAGGGTCCTCTCTCCACAAAAAATAGGTCTGCAGTCAGAACAGCCAAAAGCCGCAGGGAAGTCGGGGGGGCTGGTCTGGCTGTTGTGTTTCTGTTGCTCTTCAGAGCTGAATGCTTTTTCAAAGGTCTAGCAATGGATATTGATTTCAGTCTGGGAGCAGCAGCCTCCTCCCCACCCTGAAGTGACTCTCTCAGCAGGATGCACTGTGGCTATAAGTCTTCTGCTTAACAGCAAAGCAACACATTCTGGCAACATCTTAAATATATTCATAGGACATCTGTGACAGGGTTTGGAGGGGAACCAAACAGGGTAAAGGCAAGCGGAGTGACCAGAAGAGGGGGATGAGGGAGGAAAGGGAGGAAAGGGAGGGGAAAGTTTAAAAATGTTAACTGTTCATGAGAGATAAAAGTCATCTTCTGATATAGCAGCACTTTAGCAGTCAGCCGCGCCGAGTAGACCCTGTCTGAGATCAACCGCATGCCAACTTTGTTGCAGAAACAAGTCTGAGAGCCTCTCTCTTCAGCAAGTATTGGTTACGTGGATAGTTCTTTTGTCCTGGCATTGGCAGATAATTTAAATACTGCAGCTTACATGAGTCCTGGGAACAAAAAACAGAACAAACCAAACAAATCCCACTTGTACTAAACCTTTTAATGTTTTAGAAGAACATCTGATTGACCAGAGTTTTTGAGAAAATCAAGACAGCTGATCTGACAGCTCTAGAGCATCACTGTACAGTTACCAATCAAACAGATGGGATACAGGATGTGCCCTATGACAGAGCACATTTGCATGGGAAAATGTCACTGTGGACACCCCCTTGCAGAAGCCTGTTAGCCCTTCTGCCATTTTTCTCAAGCTATTAACAGAATTATGCACGTACCCACCAAAGTGGGAAATCATGCTATCCTACTCCACTCACAAACATCAAATCCACTCTACAACTGACCCAAAAATATGAAACATTACGTCCTCTCCACACTGTGCTGGCCAAGACAAAAGGATAAGGTGACGAGCAGATCAGCCAGGCTCCAATATAAACAACTGAAAACTTGTGCTATGCTAGAAAGAAGAGGGCTAGGCCCTATGACTAAATGATTTTGCACATTGATGCATCTCGATTAAATTAATCTCGGCTTGTGTGTCAGTGTCTCCCTCTCCAGCCAAACCATTCTCTTGAATCAGCTTGCTGCAGAGCGAGAAGAATGGTCACCACTTCAGAAGGAGGGAATAAAGCTGACGCTTCTTGGCAAAACCCTCCTGCCTGGTGACAACTGCCCAGGGTTAGGCCATCTGCATCCCCTTGTTAGGTAGCAGCTGCTCTACTCACTCTGCAGAAACCCTTCTTCCTCCTGGACAGCAGTGATAGCTGATTTGATTATTGATGATGATGGACAGAGGAGGAGGAGTTCTTCAGGGGAACTCTCAGGCGCCACATGCTGCAAATCCTAAAATAAAGTCCCTATTCTAAGGTATCAAAACCATTCCTGTCCTTTTACAGGACACTGTAATTACTGTCCAACCAAGATGCGAAATACTCGTAGACTCAGCTAGTTATTCAAGCAGCATGCTCGCACTACATCCAGTGCCACCTTTAAGCCTCATTATACTTTTTTTAATTTTTTTTTTTTTTTTACCTGTGCGAGTGTGAGGTACAGTGTAGTGTTATTTATCTTGAGATGTAGGTGTATGTTCTGGATGGGGAACGAGTGGATTCTGCTTGGGCAGCTGGGTCATTCAGAAAATCCCAGATGAGGATGGTGTCATCATGTGAGCTGCTGACGATCTGGAACTCATCAAACTGCAGTCGAAAGACTCTTCCAGAATGCTCCTAAATGCAAGTAGGAGACACAGCATGTTACTTTGCAAAGTTGCTGGCACTTGGGATAAAGCAGGGAAGATGAGCTTGGGCTTGAATTCTAGTGTTCTATTCATTTCTCAGCAAACCTCACATGACACAGTGTGCATCACCATCACACAGCGTAAATTAAGACCACTTTTAGTGAAAAAGGTTTGCTGTATCTGAGTACTTGGCTCGCAGGATGTTTACATTAGAGTCATCCCATTATTCCTTAAATCCCAATACTGGACACGCACTCTGCAGAACAAACCAAACTCCCTCCACCACATAATTCAGTCTGGCGAGGCTGATAGGAGCTGCCCTTCTTGTTCCATGACAAATCTCTTTCCTGAAATCACAGCATTCCCAGATGCAGTAGGTTACAAGGGGAGAGATGAGAACTTTGCATTCAAGACTTGGCACCGCTGCCACTACTGAAGAGGAAAGAGCTTGATACTGGAGGATACTAGGGAGCCTGTTGTGAAGTCCAGTGACACAGTAATAATTCCACTTAAGCAGTTCTAAAAATATGAACTAGAAAGGGCATTCTTTATAGGCAGTTTGCATTCTGCTCTGAGGCCGAGTAGAAATGGCATGACGATTTGGCAAGAGTTCAGACTGTAGTTAACAGGAGGTAACGGCAAGATTCTTGATATCAAAGAGCAAATCCACTATGCTTTCCCTTTTGTGTTGCCTTTTTTTCTTGGTGCTTACACTGCTGCAAGAGTGAGCAGTAGCCGCCTCCTCCGCAGTCAGAACGGAACAGAAACCACGCAGCTAGGGTGAGTCCTATCTTTTCCATTAATACATATTTCTCTTTTGTGCTCACACGTTGTAAGGGGCCTAGGGTCAGGAAAAAAACATGTCTTAAAATAGTTTAATACTGCAACTACAGGCTTCTCAAACATTTAGACAAAAGAGAATTGTTAGCTACTAAATGGGAAGCCTCTGTCTTATGGCACAAGACTATAAAAATACAGCTCAGTTTGCAAAGCACAACAGCTGCTTTAAAGTGAATCTCTGAATCTTTGAATTAAAATTAACAGAAAACACACACACACAAAAGTCATTTTTCCATTTTTAATATAAATTTTTAAAACAGTCTAATCATTAGAACCTTTCTGATCTTCTAACCATAACTCAAATTCATCCTAAAAACACCTTATGGCGTTGTGTCTTCCCACCTATTCCAAAAGGAAATGTTTTTTCAGAGTCTGTGTTGTAGCAGTGAAGTAAAGAAGATCTTGCTAAAAAATATCACTACAACAGTCAGATCCACTGAGGGATAGCTCACAGAGACACCGAGAGAGAGGTACTTCCAAAACTCACTTTTTTCTCACAGTCCCTCTAGGCTAAGTAAGGTTGCCCTAGAAGTTCCACAGAGCACCTGCCCTTTGCTGTTGCAGTGGCAATAAGCAGAATGCACACCCTAAGCTGAGGCCACAAGGACCTGGACTCTTTAGTTTGTAAGGAAAGCTGAACTGTGTGCTTGTTCTGTGCCCAGAAAGCTGCCGTCAAATTCATGTGGCCGCTGCTCCAGCTAACGGAAGACAAAACTGGAAGGGACCTGGCATGCAGCGAGCATTTGTTATCTGTGCACTTTCCTCCTACTGTTTGAAAATTGAACACGAGCAGCAGGAGACCCACGATGTTCATTGTGCAGCCAGGTTTAATTTTGGAGGCCGAGGGAAGAGAAAAAAAACAACAAACCATGGGTAAGCGGGTATGAGGACGCCCTGTTGTCAGAAACATGGAGAGTCCTAAAAGCACTACAACAGCTTCCTCTGTTCCTCCTCTTTTGGCCCCCTCCATTGCTATCAAACGGGGATTTATGAGTATCCATGTGTTGAGATTCCTACGGTGTTTCCATTCCACCGCTTCTGATTTATAATATAATTAGCTGGGGCACTTCGGCTGTCCACTGTTGGAAAATGCAGAGGAAATCACACCAGTTAAATTAAGTCTACAGGTTACTAGGCATACATTTGTCTCAGGCTGGAGCAGGAACACTACTAATACCAAGCTGAAGTCTCAGACTCTCAGGATACGTGCTTACAGGCACAGAGTTGTTCCATAGTTCGGAACTGGGTGGCTGATGACAAAGGTTTTTTCTGGAATTCAGCCAGGAAATTATCTGCAGTTCTATTTGGCTAACAAGAAGGTTTTTCAACATAGTACCTACAGGCATTCAAGGCTCTCACAGATTCCTACTCCGCAGCTTATGGTCCAAATACATGATTGGAAAAGAGTTAGCACACCTTAATGATCTACTGCCTGTCAGTTGAGTCACAGTAACCCTCACAGCCTGTACCAAACACGAAGTAAAATACTCAGTGAAATCGACAGCAACAGCAGCAATTCAGGTGGCTGATAAGTGCGCAGAAGGTCAGCGAGCACAGCTCAGCTGGTGAGAGGTAACCGCACTGCCAGGGAGTCAGATAGCCTCAGAGTCCTCTTGTTTTAGAGCACAGACTACAGTCACACGCCACAGCAGGGAAAGGTCTAACGTGTACTAAACCAAACACTGCTCTAACACTTCTTAGATAAAAAATAAATACACTTAGTACTTCTTTTTCCATGAGAATTTGGTACTGGGTTGGAATCTTCCTTCATCCCCAGCAGCACTGCAAGTTTTCTGGGTGGATGTGACGGAGGAATGCTTATAGGAACGATGCTATGGCCTTGGCTGTACCAGCATTTTTCTCACAACTTTCCCACATTATTGTAAGTCCAGTGCAGAGCCACTGTTACGCATGACTGTGAATGTTGTTAACGCTCACACAATAACATTTTAACTACACTATCGTCAGACCTGCACTAAATACTAATGGACAGCATGAAAGTAGTAGTTGCCGTTTCAAGCATGAGGCAATTTCATTGTCGGTTCCAGTCTTTACCAGTTTTTTCCTTAAACATTCAAAAGCCAGTTAAGAGCAATCCCAAGGGTGTTTTTGTTCTTGTTCCTCAAATTTGGGATGTGCTACTTTTCTTTAAGAAATTTCATGTCAACAATTCAGACAACTTACTACTACATGATCAAGCACACACAGGTTAAAGTAAACCCACTGGCACATGGATTCCAAAAGGACAAGTCTCAAAAACGGATTTAGTTATTAACTTCAAAACACAGAACAAGACTGTTAAAAAGTGAGTGAAAAGTCCACAGGTTCTAATATTTAATGCTTTATAGCTTGCAACATTAAAACAAAAGTTGGACATCCAAAAAAGCCAGACCCCTAGAAATGATTTCTAGATCCTGCAGGCTGGGGTGAAGTGGACTTGAGTTTTCATGGCTCAAGATAGCCACAATCATGCACACCTTTCTTCCGCCTGCAACACCCCTACACCAAAAGCTCTTACCACAAGGGTTCGCAAGCAGAGGGTCCCAGCTGGAGCACGGGGGTCCAAAGCAGCCACAAGATCCCACACTTTAATCTTCCTAGTAGTGAAAAAATAGACAAACACCACGGATCTGTTAAAGAGAAAAGAGCAGGTGCTCACAGAAAAAAATTAACTGTTAGTACAGCTTAGATAATACACCAGTTCAAGAAAAATTACAGCAATCCTTCTGCTCTTGAGCTTGGTTCTTGCATTTCCCCTTTGTAAAGCTTATACAGCTTAATGGGAGAAAAATATGCTGTCAACAAAGTAAACCACATAAAAAGCAGGTGGTAATAACTAACGGAAACATGTGGGAGTGCAGACACCTAGTCTGTGATGGCAAATGGTCCAGAAGAAGTAGCCAGATGGGAAAGATTGTTCTTACCAGAGGTTCAGCTAGAAGAGGTTTCAGGTTGAGTTGGTCAGATATTCTTATAAGCTAAAGAACTGGACCACACACATCAAATCACACTGACTTATTTCAAAAGAAGAAAAAAGAGTACATTTTGTAGCATGGTCCTGATCTACTGGCCATGAAGAGGTCCTCTTGATATGACAGACAAGGAGTCTAATATTTATAAGGAAGATACAGAGAAGTGGGTTGTGAGACACTGAGACAGACAGGAAGATGCAAGGTGTTGACTGCACTGACAGCCTCACCCATCATATGCCCCACTGACTATCCTCTTGTTATCAAAGCGTATGCATCTCACCAACTCTTCATGGCCTTCCAGCACTCGTAAACACGCCCCACACTCGATATCCCACAGCCTGGAAGAGAGTACAAAGAAGCACTAAAAACTTTTGAATATCTGATCATTGCAATGAAACTTTTGGTCTTTGCTTGTAGTAACTGGAAGCTTGGAAATACAAATTATGATGAAACAACAAAGAAGAAACAAACTGCATTCATCACTCCTTTTCCTGCTGTTAAGCTGACGCATGCTTTTCAACGTGACCCTGTTATGTTACAATATCACATTGGAAATGAGTCAGAGATCCAAAAATTTTAAGACCAGTTGTGTCTAGTATATACTGCTCTAGTAACACAGGATACCTCCCAGTTTTCTTCAGTGAGCCTCAACCTTATTTTATTGAAGTTGATTTTTCATAAAAGTATCCTGCGTCACTTTTAAGACATTAAGAGAGGAAGACTTACCAGTCCCCTTGACAGCTTGTTCCAATGGGTAAGATCACCTTCACAGGGCACATGCCCCTTTCTGTACCACTACATGCCTATTTCTGATTTGGAGACTACCATCGGACAAATTAAGACACCAATACAACGGTGAAAGGTACAGGAATTAATTTGTAATGCATTTTCTTCTTGCTCTCAAATAATTCATGTGGCGCTCTGCTAACTGTTTCTAACAATATAGTATTTTAAAAAAGTTGTGGCACCAAAACCAGCACACAGTATCCCAGTAAGAGACCCAGCAATGCATTATCCTCTCAACTATAAATAACCCAGAGTTTTGGGTTTTGTGAAGGATTTTTAGCATGGAGAATAAATAAAAATGCATCAATTTTTATACTTACACACTACCTTGAAAAATATTTAATAAACGCTTGAAACAGTTATTAATTAAGTCTACTTACTTTCCATACTTTTGTCAGCTCTTTGACATGACTCCCAACTACCATGGATAAAGAAAGATTATTTGTCTACAAGAACTGAAATTCTTTTGACATGTATTGTCTACAGGTGTTCCATCTCTGGCTGAGACATGCTCTGCTCATACAGGAATCTTTTAATAGCAGTAGGTACTGCAGCTCCCTGACACACAGCTGAAAGAAAGCAGTTAAAAATGTTCTTCAATGCTCGTTCGATTAGCGTTCAGACTGACACGAACTTCACAGCAGTGAGAAATACGGATGGTTCATGGAATTTCTCTGGGTGACACATATCAAAACAGCACGTGCTGCTGAGGGGTCAGGTCACTTTTCCTTGAAAGACAGACAAAGAGAGAGAGAAATTGTCCCCACATATCTTACTTCTCAGGTCCCCCAGGGAATAACCCAGACCCAGTGGTTTGTCACTGTAGAACTGGGAAAGGATTTGTCTATGCGAACGTTTGAGGCCAACAAGGAGCACAAGGCGATTCTTCGATCCATGAAGCTGATCTTCCAGGAATCTGTGAAGATCCCAATAGTTTTCACATGAGTACCAGCACACCAGGCAAGGTCAGGGCAAGCAACTTCATTGCAAAGGTCAGCCAAAGGCACTCTAGCTGGTCAGAGAGCATAAAGTCTCTCAAGGACTGTAACAGGACAGACAATGCCAGAAATGAACTGGTGCGGCAAGGTCTGGGGAGCAATCTTGTGCCAGGAACTTCCGTGTCATGTGTTGCCATTCCTTGCCATGGATCCCGAGATTGCCAGCAGCTCTGGGAGGCTGCATCACACTAATTCAGGCCTGTATTTTCAGGTCCCAGTTTGAGGTTTTACCTGAATATGAATGGGATTAGAAGAGATAATCAAGTCCCTAGCCATGTGGGGAATGGGCCTTCGTGTACAAAACAGATAACTGCTATGTAAGAGCAGAATCTCCTAGCAGAATTGTTGCTAAAGGTACCTCCCAGATTTGATAACCTTCTCAAATTTCTACTTCTTTAAATAGTCAAAGGACCAAATAGTAACAGAACTACTCTTAGGGCTTGAGAACTAACTAAGAAAATTCACTACAAAGTGTACACAGCCAAAAACACTACCAGTCTTCCTTCCTACAACTTTGGGAGAACTTCTGATAGTGGAGGGAGGTCTGCAATTATCTCAGCCTTTAATTCACTTTAAGTCCTGGCAGAGCTGTCAGATGTACAGAAGGCAGGTGAGCCCGAATCCCCATCTCCTAGAGAGAATGCTATTATCTAAACAACCCAGTATCAGATCCCCATGTGTGCACACACTGGAGGTTGAATACACACATGCAAATCAAGTTTAAAAATTAACTCAAGATTATGTAGTCTGACTCTATTTTCTTGCTCTAAATGATCTTTTTTTTTTTAATTTTTTCTACACAATGCTTGTCTGTAGCAATTAAGAACTTTGGCCCTAGCGGCTAAGATATTGAAGTGATTGGCTTAAACTTGATGGACCAGTTTCGACCAGATGGAAATCAACAGATAGCAATGCCTGTGTAGCTGTGTCCTCTTACACTGGTGACACTTCTGGCCTAAAACAAAACCTAAATCATTTTTATACATGGAGTTTCTCTACAGAAGAAAGATGTCCATTTCTCAGCTACTTCACATGTCCTTATATTTGCAATCGCAAAACTAGAAATCACAGAGTTATCTTTCAGAAAAAAGTTTTGCTGCAACTGAGGAACAACGAACTTCAAATTCTGTACCAGAAGGCAGACTCTACTAAAGGCCAACACACACACAACACCTGGCATTTTACAATGGATTAAAATCAAACATACAAAGCGCCAAGCCACCCACAAAGATGACTTAGTAACCTGCCCTTTCTTAATCACCCTTCCACTGACTTGTGCCCTCTGCTAACAGCTGGGAGAAAATGATGTGACCAGGTGAGTCTTATGCCTTCCCCACACAGCTGCCAAACTTACTTCTATTAAGATTCACTGCCAACATTCCTAAAATTCTAGCACAATTTATCTGTCAACTACAGATTTTGTCCAATGTAAGCATAAAAGTAACTGTATTCCTCTTTAGCGTTATCACTATCTTGACATTTATTTTTACTAGGATTGCAAGTCATATTTTAGATCCTTCCCTAACTGCTGTAATATTTAACTATTTCTAACTCTAATTCTGAGACCAAGTTTCATAATAAAATTGCAGAGGGTTACTTTTTTCTACTTGAAGTGCAGGAGTTCTCACCATGTATAAGCAGTGCTACTCTCACACAATGCCTGTAATACTTCTTCCCCTGATTAAGGGTTCCAGCTCTCTTGGTTGTACTCTCAGATGGCCTTATACTAAAATCTGGCACAATGAGCTGATGGTGTCAACCAAAGGATCACCGTTTTCCTACAGAACGCAAAGCAGGGAGAGGCAGCATGTTGCAAGCAAAGTCCACACACAAACAGCAGCATGAATCATTCTCACTGAGGAGAAATTATTACTGACGTGCAAAGTGAGAGTTTCTGCTTACACTGTCCAGCTTTCAAGTTTTATCAGAAGGCAGGGAATTATTTAAACCAATGACAAAGGCAAAAGGGATGTTGCTCTTATTCCTGTTTGCACAACAGAGCCATTTCTCTACGTCACGTACACTACTATTCAAGCCTGCTCCATACACCCCGAGATTAGTGGGACATCCCTCTGCCAGCAGCTGCAGGACGCAGAGAGAAATCCTGGCTCATGATACCAGAAAGAGTTAAATCTCAGACTGCAACCAGGGCAGCTGGAGAAGTGCAAAAGGCAGCAAACTGAACTTCATGCTCTAAACCAGCTGTTCCAAACTTAACCAGGTGCCAAGTATCACGAGAAGAGTTTGGCAAGAACCCAGGAGGGTTTCTACAGAGGATTAAATGCCTCTTACTGCAAATATGACCCCTTTAACTAGACACATAGCCCAATTAAAATATCACAAGAGGACATCACAGAAAGTGGTACTTGCCAGCTCTTTCATACACCAGAATTGTCGGCGCAATGCACCTTGTTGATTAGTATGGGACTCTTGAGATACACAGGATGAAAGACAACACAGTAAAACAGGTTTCTAATATCTCTTTCCAGTAGTTCCCAATGTTCCATACCAAAGAAAGCATATTTCAAAGATGACAAGGGTACAGAGCATTTCAGTTGCCTAACCTCTGCTCGTCCCAGGGAACCAGAGACAATGTGCTTGCACAGAACTCTGCAGTGGGGAGTGTGTCTCTCACCTGATAGTATTATCTGAAGAGCCGCTCACTACTAGCCTGTCTCTGTACTGCAGACATGCAATGCCTCGTTTGTGGCCATTTAAGGTGCGCACAAATTCGCAGGTACTAGTGTTCCATACCTGTGACAGGAAGGGGAAGGGAACCACACAGAGACAAAATTATTAAGAAGAGACTAACAAAAACTGGTATCTGTATGATATATAGGTGTATCCAGAATGTTTTTATTCATTGAAGATGCTATCATTACGACTGGGAAAAATACCCCTCCAATGACTTGTGACTATAGTTTGCAACTGTTAGCAACTTGGGTCACTGTAAACAGAAGAATTTGCCACATCATATGAGAATTAGCTTCCAAAATCAGGCTTTAGCACTCTAGGTCTATGGTTTAGTCTACACAGGATCTTGATTTTCCTCAGTTTTAACGCTGCAGATTGGGATCACAGCAGTAACACTTAAGTGACTCCTATCCGCTCACATTCACTTTTGCCCCCATGCTGCCCTCTGACAACTGTTTGAATGACTGATGCTTGAAACAGATTGTGGAAGTGGTCAAGCCAAAAAAGAACACAGAAAAAAAAGTCCTTTTTCAACTGCGTCTGTACCTGGATCTGATTTGTCATACAGCTCTGTAAACAAGTTGTGCAAGCTCAACAGAGGAGGAATGAGTGGAAATGAGCAGCAGGAAGAACACTGCTTCTAAAGGAATATCTGTGTAATAGCTGCCAAGGACCACCTTCCCTGTCTGGTGACTGTTCTTGGTTATTAAATACCCCAGTGCTGCAAGCTGCAAATAAAAAGCTTCTGAAACACCTCACCTTTATAGTTCTGTCACCTGATGCTGATACAATGTACTTGTCATCAAAGTCCACTACGTTGACGGCAGCTCGGTGCCCTACTAGCACCCTCCTCAGGGTGATGTCTGTTGGTGAAGCCATGTCCCACACAGCAATGGAACGGTCTTTGGAACATGTCACCATCATGCCGTTATTGAAGCGGAGGTGCAGTACTGCTTCGCAGTGGTGAATCAGTGTATTCAGCATCTCGCCTGCATTCACGTCCCATACCCTGCAGTTTCAAATTTCAAACCAGAGAGAAAAGAGTTAAAGGACCGTACAGTGGATTTTCTGCAGAGCGAGAGGGGGATAGGAAGAGGCAATTGACTCTCTAGCAACATTAGAGAAGCAAACACCACAAGTTCTATCTACATCTATTAAAGAGTTCATTAAAAGATGTATTACGTAAGCCTGTTGATTATGCACACATTGAGACGGTCCAGCAGCCAAAAACCCTGCAATGCAGTTAACACCATAAAAATAATCCAGCCATGAAAAAAGCATTCTTTAATTAAGGGAATTTAGTGCTGAGGAAAGGTATGAGATTGATGGCCTTAAAGACTGATGTTTCCTGGTTGTGTCAGCGTACCAGACACTCCATTTCCACTCAATGAGTACTTAATCATGACCTGTGAAGAACCAAGTTCAGTAACAGGTTTAATTTTTGACCTCTCTCACAGGACTATCAACTGAAATGATAATTTATACAGAAGCAGAAGACAAGATAATGCTTTTCAAACAAACGTAAGTAATTGCCACAAGTTGCACCACGAATTGCATTTACCTTGCAGTGCACCTGGTACACAGCTACATTCCAGGAATGTGTTGAATACACAAATTAAGACAGAGCATTTATGTCAATTTAATGTTATTGGAACCAACTGTTTCAGCTGAAATATAATTTAAGATGAAAGTTAGACAAAGGCTTCATACAGAACTTCTAGGACTTGAAATGAAGATTTTAAGCCTTAAAACTATTTCTTCTGGGCTATTCTGTTGGCAAACTTCTTTTGCCCTCCATAAAGAGGTTTCTTTTGGCACTATCACACCTGTATTCCAGATACACTACGTGAGAGCAGAAAATGGCTGTACCATCAGGCACTTCAGACACTGCAGAAGTTAAAACTTTCCTCTGCCAATAATGTGAGCAGTAAGAAAAGGTAAGATGTGAGAAAGACTTCTAATGTCTTATTTTCTAACTTACGGAGGCTGAAGTGCATCAACTTACAGACTATAAACGAGAAAGAAAACTACATTCCAATTACAAAATGCAAAGGAGAAAAACCCACAGACTAAAAAAGACTTGAGCTATAAACAGATGAGCAGTTTGCAGACAGGGTTGCCAAACTGAGTAGGAGCTGGAGACCTACTGACTTCTTTGGACAAGTGCCTCCCTGAGATCTCACAAGCATTAAGAGCCCATCTGTACTGTCTATTGGATGAAGCCCCTCTTCCTGAGGAGACCCACGGATTAAAGTGATGCATCCTATGTGCCTCTGGGGTTTGCACAAACATTTATAGATACAGTGGGAAACAAAGTATTTCTGGGCAAGTAGCCAGTGTGCAATTTGGCCTGCCTGGCCCGATATGGAAGATGATAGTGCTAGTTACAGAAACCAGCCTCTCCTTTTGCGATCTGTTTAGCACAGTGCAGTTCCCACACCATCTCCAGGCAGGTAGTATTGCCAAAATTCTGGATTTCCACTAATGATAGGACCCCAAAATCTAACAGCACCACAAGACTGCATGCATCACATGTCAGGAACTATATTTAATGGTTATTAGCTTAACAGTGGTAGTTTACATGCAAGCATGGTGATAATCATGAGGAGCTTGCAGCCATAGGAACACATGCTAATGTGCCTTCAGAAAAGGCCACTGACATAGCTTTTCGTTGTCTGTAACTTCACTGCATGGGCATTGTTTGTACTCTGACAAGAACAGAATATATAACAACATGGAGAAGACAGACTAGCTCCTTCACATCCAAGTTCATATTGCAGTTCACTAACTGACATGTGCAGGAATTAAGACTCTCTGGGACACTGTAATATGTCTAGTGGACCTCACATCTGCACAACACGCACCACAAGTCCTGACTTGAGGTGTCCAGCCTTTTGCTGGAGACTGGAAGGAAAGCAAAGTTAGAGATATTTAATGAAAAGAAACATCATGCTGAAATTTAATTAAAGTTACAGGAGATCTAGTCATACATCTTTTGTTAAAATTAAGTGACAACAGATGACTAAATGTTCAAACTTGTTTTGAAAACTTCAACCAACTTTTAAAAAAAGTTATTCTCAGTGAGTATTTAAAACTTTCTCAGGGAGTGTCGAAACATGCAAAACCTTGGTGACATGCCAGATGGCCTTCCTAAGTCATCTCGACCTTGACTGGCCTTTGCTTAGGTTCTCATTTCTCCTTGACAGCCATTTGCATGGGCATCTGACAAACAAGGGCAGTGTACTCCTGAACAAATAGGCTGAACTACTTCACGGAACCGTCTGAACGGCACATTTAAGAAAAGGTTATTTCAGCAGCTTGCAAGGCTAAAATCTTAGAGGCAAACAGAAAGCCCCAAATCATGAGCACACACCTGACTGTTGAGTCTGAAGATCCAGTAATGATAACCCGTTCATCGTACTGGAGGCACAGGACAGAACCCGTGTGTCCGGTGAGAATTCGCTTGCATTCCAATGTATTCTTATCCCAGATCTAAGATAGCAAACATTGAAAACCAGACAGCTCAGTAAGGTTTTCATCTTTCAGCACTTACTGGTTTGACTGGACTGTTTTTCACTACAACACATCATCCATAGTGCAGTTACAACATCTTTAGCAGCATCTGTAGAGTCTTCTAAAGGCTCTTTGGTGCAATATATTAACATCTTTGATATTACTGGCTTTCCTATGAACATTGGTTCTATCCTTCTCATCAGGGTACAGGGCACAGTAATTACATAGCCTGTAATTACTGATGGATCAAAACTCCTAGTGAAGTCTGTTTGTAAGAAAACTGGGTCTGTCTTGCCAGGTAAGAGAGGCATACATGTTGTGCAGGTGTGAGTGGGGAAAAGAAAAGGCTAGGTTACTAACAAGAGATTGGGTAGGTGTCACTGAAATTAGGACACTATTATTTATGGCATACGCACTACGTGCCATTAGTATGCCCTTCTGGAGCATTCTCACCTTGATAGTATTGTCTCGTAGGCCACTTACTATCTTCTGATCATCATACTGTAAACAATAAACCCCTTTGCTTGTCTCGCTTCGGCAGTGGATTCTCTGTAAACTGTGCCTTCCACACCGCCAGTTTGACTCTATTGTCTTGAGGAGAGACAGGAGACAAAAGAGAAGTAAAAATAAAGCACAGAACTATCTCCCCTTTTTTTGTTTGCTTAAGAAGACAGCATATCCTTTTCCTCATGCTTTTTGCCTGCAATCAGGCCCATACAATGGCATAACTGCTTTCTAGAAGAAGCAATGCACATAATAAAACCAATTAACAGACAAAGGCCCGGAAAACATATTGTGGCTAAACTCATCTGTGTTGTCTGGAATGGTGAGGAAGAGGTGACCTAAGAAACTTTTTTCTGTCTCCAACCTTTAACTCGCTGTGACTCAGTGACTAAACAACTGAAGAGACAGTCTCAGCTGAGTTCTAGCTGAGTGCTTGTACAAACTTGTCACAACAGTGCCTGAGCACTGCTTCTGCCATTAGGAAACTGCCAGAACACGGCATTTGCTCACACTGGATACAAGGCAACCATGCTCAGTTGCTTCCTATTTCCCTGGGTCTTAGGGTTGCAGTCTCAAGTGATGCACTTTCTCCCTAGCTCAGTTCACGATACCTGCCCGTAACATCTCATTGGGTCTCATTTGCACTGGGTGGAGCAAAGGACTGTGCAACAGAGAAAATCAAGATGGTATGGTGCTGCCGTGACATCTGACGTGCAAGGTGTAGAGACTCCATCTGCAAACAGCTCACTGAACAATCCAACTCATCCTCTAAGCAAATGGCGAAGCCTGGGACCTCATAGAACTGTCCCAGATCTACAAACTCCAGGCAAACACAGACACATCAGATTTAATTAAATATTTCATTAGAATGAAATATTGTCAGAATTTCAGCATCATGAATAAATCAGGGAGATATAAAAAAAAACCCAAACACACCAACAAAAACCCCAAAATACCCTCCCACCACTCTGCAAGCTGTTTCTTACCTCTATGTCCTGTATAATTTTGGGGTAAAGTGCTCTGTAGAAGGAGTTGGGTGGGGCAGTCCCATCAGGAGGTTTATTTTTAAATAGATATTGTCCCCTGGAAGACAAAGAACACTCCCATTGAACACAAATCATGTTCCAGCATTTTGGAGAACGGTTCTCCTGGCATTTTACAACGCCTCAGTTGGAGGTGAGAATGGTTCATGCCCAAAATATACATACTCATATCAGAGGTCACCTTTAAAATAACGCGTAAAAAGAAAATGAAAGAAGCCAAGGAACCCTCAAACTCACTATGCATCCAAGGCTAGCTTTTAACTGCATTAGCAGGAACAATATCAGTTTTGGTACATGGACATTTTACTGCTATTACTATATTTTGGTAAGCAACACTTCATCTGTGATGCCTCCCTCATTTCAACACTGATTTGGAATACTCATATCCCAAGCTAGATTTTTGCTACAAAAAAAATCCATAAACGGCAATCACTACCTGCTGTGTAAAAAACTTTAATTCCTCATCCTGAAGTTAAGAAGCCACCAAACACGGTGTGGAAGCTAGTAAACCCCACCATGGGCGTAGTAACTGCTGTTCTGCCTGGCAACATGCCTCACAAAATGGTGAGAGGCACAAATGCCTCCAAGTGTAATCCTGGCATCAGAGGCACAGAGTTTACACTGGGCCAGCTCTCCACTTCTCCCTCCCTCGCTCCATTATGGTATAATTAATTGTTCAATACTTCCTCGCACATTTCGTTCTTGTCCTTTCCATAGAGTATACCTTGAAACTCATTTGAGAGACTGTACATTAGCTGCCCTGATGTACTTGCAGTAGGGAAATTCCAACAATGAACCAACATTTTTAGGTTTTGTAAGGCAGTAGCAAACTATAGGACTGAAAAAACAAAACAACAAATGCTCAAGAAAAGAACTTTTGATAATTCTTTAAATAAAGTACTTAAAGTATGACTTGAGAGAAAGGTGCTTTCCACTTTGGACAGAGCAATCATCTGAGTCTTCAAATACAGTCACCAGCAGCCACTCACATGGGGACAAACACACATGAAGAAGGGACACATGGATGCAGGCAAACCACTAACTAGGTGGTTGCCTATTTACTGTGATCCAGTCTGGGAGTGCATACAAGAAAATTAAAATTATTGGCCCAGGGAGACAAAAAAATGCTTTGTAGATACACAGAATACGTAGGACACATCCTGGAATTCTTGGGGTACAACTATTACAATCTGTATACACTTCTATGTGCCTGAAAAGCTGCTTATTGTTTCCAACTTTATTATTCTTGTTTCAAACTTTACTAGCTGATCTAATACAAGGTCTTTTTGCTACCTATCAGCCCTGCCTTGCTGCATGTAGTCTGTTGTTAACAGTTCAGCTAAAGGATTGCTCGGAATTTCCACGGCATCCCAGTGGCCGTTGTGCTGTGCTCTGGGATAAAAGGAACTATTGTTTGCAGGTTTTGATGACTGGCCAATTCAATCAAGAATTCAGATGGACACCATTGTGCCCAGATTTTGGGCTTCTGTTTTATATTTCTCTAAATCTGTGTAACTCTTATTGCTCCCTGTCAAGCTGTCAGTGAAGGCTACTGTGCTGTGAAACTGGGTGTTTCTGTTGTAAACTATGAGCTGCAAATACAGAAACCAGGTAGCCCATGTGCAAACTGAGGAGCCATAAGCAAATAACATCAGACGTCGATCACTCTGAACTGTCCGGTTAGTCACCTCCTTGTTCCACGCACAGCGTTAGCATCGATTACAAGCTATAAAACTCTATACGTTAGAGATGCAATGACACTGGGTATTTCTTGTCTGCCTCTCTTCACCACTCCACTACGCCTGCAGTTGTATCTTCTAGGGCTAATCAGACGGGAATCTGAAAGACAGGGCACAATTTGCTCCTGTTGTGTCAAAGTAATGTCCAGGACACAGTGCAAACCTGAAGAAGAGGTGCAGTAACAGGGTGTGACTGTCCTTTGAGATGAGAAGCAGGATTTTGCAACTGTTTTTTAGAAATGTCATGTGTCTGTATGACTAGTAATTGGCACTGATGTTATTTCTAAAATCTGGAGGGAGCAACTTGAGAACTATCAGCTTTTATCTCTGACAAGATGCTGGGAATAGGAAAAGTTCCACAGAACAGGAAAAAGACAAATACAGCTGTTGCACTTTAAAACAAGGGAAGAAGGTCCACCAAGAAAATTGTGGACTGTCCAACCCCACCTCGAAAGCTTAGCAGTTCTAGAGCACACAGTCAATCACATGAAGATGACAAGGTGACAAACAACAGGTTACATTGATCAATCCAGAACAGACGATGTCAAACTGACCTAATTTCTTCTCACAGGCTGTTCTCATGACTTAGCAAGGAAGTATGATCTTGGAAGAGATCTGGGGTGAACACACAAATGGCTAGAAAGCACAGTTTACTGGTAATGCACTGTCAAACAGGATGGCAACTGGGATCTGGCATGGAGTCTGTCCTAGATGTGTCACTATTGAGCATTGTTGTTAATGACAAAGAATGGAACAGGGAGTGCAATGGTACTGAAACTGGGAGAAGCTACAAGCACTTTGGAGGACAAGATTAAACTCATAATGCTCCTGACAAAATGGAGAAATACCAAACAATAAATAGAATCTAATTCAATAAAGACAAGTGCCAAGGTCACCACTGAGTAACAATGTCAGCGTGCAAGATTAGGAATAATGGCTAAGTAGAACTTCTACAGAAGGGGTAATTAACTTTGTAACAGTATTATAGCATTGTTAAAAAAAAAGCATGTTCTACTGGAAAGCATAAAATGGAGTCCTCCAGCATGCAAAGCAATGTTTCCCACACCACCAAACTCTGGTGATATCTTGGCAGAAGTAAGACACCCAGCTGATTACACCATCCTCCAAGAATGGAGTAGAGTAATTGGGGAGGGTCTAAACAGAGAAAACTAAGAACAACAAGAGGACAGGACAACACAGGATTATGGTTGGTTAGTGCATCCAAAATGTAGGAAACGTGATAATCTTCCAATATGGAACAGGTGACTGCAAAAAGGAGAATGACAAACTGTCCTGCGTGTCTGTGTAGGGTAAATATAATACGCCAAACTGTAGCTACGAAGACAGCCTAGATCTTAGGAAAACCTTTCTAACTCTAAAATTAGTGAAACAGTAGAATTCCTTGCCCAGGCAAGGCCTGGGGAATCTCCATCAGTGAAGGTTTTCAAGAATAAGTTAGACAAACATATGGGATGACTTAAGAGAAGCCTGGCTCTGCCTCTGGGAAACAGGAGGGACTGAAAAACCTCTCAAGGTCGTCTTCGGACTTACTGTGACCTCAATAATACAAAGCAGAAACCGAAGTCCTGGAAAGAACAAGGCACACAAAAGTTACCACTGTCACGCTTGTGTTTATTTTACACTCTTTATAAACACTACACTTCTGGAAGTAGATCAAAATAGTATTTATTTTTAAAGGATGTTTCATAATCCTGATTTACTCACCTTTACTTCCTGAAACAAACAGTATAACAAAATTAACCATAAAACAGAAGTCTTTGTTTGCAACTCTATCTTTTTCTTTTTAATAGCAACCAAAATGCCTGAGCTGTCACTTTTATCTTGTTTATGAAATATTCATACCCAGCTTCCCTTCTGCCAACATCCTAGGGACACCCTTGGAAAAGAAAATTATGTATTAAAGGACATACCCCTGAGAGGGGAAGTTCTAATGAAATGTTAACAGAGCAGCTTCAAACTTGAGTGAGACCCACATTGTAGTAAGGCTATTCCAGATGATTATTAACTAATCTATCTGCATTTCTAAAGTCCCCTATTCTCCGTGGTACCTACCCTCAGCTTCCAGTTTGAAAATTAAACAGATATCTAATAGTGAAAATCTGCTGAGGAAAACAAACAGACCTATCAGGAAGCAACTAATTCATAGCACATGCTGCCCCACTGCCACCCCTAAAAAAGCTCTTCTGCTCTGAACTGCTGACTAGTTTAGTGTTCCCCTGGGGCGTACGCAGCTTCTTAATTTGAACCAAATGACAGCTAGGGGTAAAAATCTCTGTCTGTATATTCCACTTCTCACAGTGGGATAAAAGCACGACCACATGAGGAAGGTGAGGAAAAAGCCGCCACATTGCCTGCATAGCCAAATAATGCCCTAACTCCCCAAGCCTGAATTTTGATTTAAGTAACTGTCAGGTTTGGAACCAAGATGATGTTTCAGGGTGCTAAACACCCCTCCTCAAACATGGTCTGAAACACACAGCACCTACTGTTCCGAATTGGGGCAAGAGAGGTGAAGATGCAGTTCCCTCACCATCCTCTCCTCTCTGACAAGCCCCTCCACAGGGAGTCTGTCCTGACCATTCTCTCGATGAGCTTCTTCCACAGCATGCCATCCGACGTCACCCGGTACCACTCTTTGCACACCAGCTCAGCAGCACACAATGATCTGGCATCCAGGTATGACAGAATGTTCTCAGCAATGTGATCCAATCCCCGAGCTGGGGGAGGGGGGAAAGAAAAAAAAAAGATTATTTTCTGGGGAGACACAGAGTTTAAAACAACTCCCCTTGCTAGTGCAAAGACAGCCTCTCTTTCCATCTCCTCTTCTCCATGTAGAGCTGGACCAACAGTACAGAAGAGCATTTGCGGCTAAGTTCAGAAGTGAACAGCATTCTCCAACTTCCTTTGGATATAACACAACAAGTCATTAAAAATAATAAAGAATCCAAGAAGTCATTCCAATCTATTTCGATGGGTTTTAGCACTAGGGGGATATGCTATGGATGGCATTTCCAACTCAGCGACGCAGCCCCCAAAATCTCTCTATATTAGGACCATTTCTCATCTCACTGCTACAGCTGTTCTCATGTTCCAACGGCTCAAAAGCTGTTTTTGCTAAAGCAGTAGCTTTTAAACGTAATGAAGAAAAAAATATATATTCCCAATGTGTGCCCTGAAGGGTAGTGGTACCTTTAGACATGGGGGAGGGAAAGATATGCAGATGCACAGAGAAGTGGAGAGGGAAGCAGAGGCTGTGTAAGGAGAAAGTGAATCGGGTTTGCTAGTTTCATTTATTTTAGTGGGTGGAGAAAAAATCTGCACCAAAGTGGTACAATCTGCAAATATTTTCCAGTGTGAACACCAGGACCAGTTTTGTTTCAACATGGCTGGAGTGAAATGTAAAGCAATTGCCTGGTTAGCACCAAGCAGCCTGATGTAACGTCGGCGTAGCTGGGCGCCAAGGAAGGTTATGCTGCGTTTCTTAACTGGATGGATGTATCCAGTAAAAATGTGCCCTTACCCACTGAAATTTAATCACCAGCAAGACTTCAGGAAAGTAAGATGCCTTTTAAATGAGATGTTGCATAAATACAGCTTCCCTCAGATGCTGTGTAATTCACAAGTGAGACACAGCATCAAGAGATTATCTCAGTTCACAGGTCAAATTTCAGAGGCTTTGTGAAAGCTGCAGTTAGCCCCCATCATCCCTCAGGCATAACATTCAGACCAATCAAAAAGGAAGCATGGCAGATTGGTATTATATGCATCTTCCCTCTGGTTTACATTTGGGACAGAGTTAAATACATCTTTTCTTGCTTTTAAAACAACAACCTCAAAGACCAGGCCCTACTTGTGACAGGGAAAGAAAAAGCAGCAAGTGCCTTTTTACAGTCACGTGTTTGTACTTCTGCAAACCCAAACTGGGTGCAATCAGCTGATTCTGATTATAGTTCATGAGACACAAAAGGCCCAATCTTTGCCTTCGTTAACCAACAGATCTCAAAATTATCTTCCAATGCATTAAAACGAGAAAATTCAGCATGCCTCCTCTCGCTCCTTTCAAACATCCTAAAATTATAATACGCTCTGGGTGAGACATTCTGCCTAGAATTTTATGCTTCCATTCATACGCAGAAAAAGCACGTGAATGATACCATCCATGCACAACCAGAGAGCGCAGAAAGAGGCCTGACATTTCTTATCTTTATAGATGCAAAATTAGATGTCAACCTGCAAAATAAAAGCATCAGCAGCCTTTATTATGTACTTAATCTGAACGGATATATACAGCCACTTAAAAAAAAGAGTGTTTGTAAATTTAGATTGACACTATAGCAATTTGTGGAAAGAGAGATACCACGTTTTAGTGAACATGAACTGGAATTTGCAGGAATTCCACAATTTGGTAGGGCAGACATGGACATCGTGTGCTCCTGCTTCGCACATTTGCTTTCCCAGTCTACATCGCTTCCAATGGGCCCAAAGCTGTTCACAGACGCACCAGGACATTTACAAATCCATACCGGTGGCTTTATGTAAGCAGTGTGACAGCAAGAAATTATTTTACATGGGGAACACACAAGGGGCTTTAGGAAGCAGGGCTACACCGCATAAACTGGTCACAGCAGTCTTCACCCACAAGTCTGCCTCTGATCCACCTGCCCCTTCCGGATCATCAGTAGTTGCACATGAGATCTTGCTGCAATGAGGTGTTGTAACCACACCCATGACCATAAGTCACCCTTTGCCATTGCTCCTAGACCCTTCGCAGAGAAGGAATACCAGTGTTTTGGCCTCTCCTCACATTTATGGTAAGTGGAAGGGCAGAGCTATTCTGGCTTGGTCGCAAACTCAATTTTATTATTATGTTTTTTAGGAACAGCACAACTCACTGAGACATGTATCTAACAAAGCGCTGCTTCCTTAAGAAAGAGAAATCTCTGCTCACAGAAGTTTTTGCTAAATCGATGTGAAACACAATTAGCCCTTCAGCCCTCCATACCGACAAGAATGTTTCAGATATTTCACACATAAAACCCTTATAAAGATGACTTTCCTCACAAAAAATGTTAAACAGCTTAGAAATGCTAAGCAGAGGCCTTATTTTTCAGAAACAGAAGTAAGTTTGTTAAGTACACAGTTAAGCTGTATTTTTCAAACTACCTTAATACTGTCCAAACTACTGGGAAAATAATCTGAGCCAATTTTACTCAGTAGAGTGTGCTCATGATCTAAAACTATCTTTAATTCTGGTCATTCTTTGGGACAGTGCTAGGAGGACAGAGATAAGACGCCTCATGATTTTGAAGTAGCTTTATTGTTTTGTTTACTCAAGGAGGAGAGCAGGAGAGAGAATGAAGGAGTACAAGTGAAACCAGAATACTGAACACTAGAGAAATTCAGAAAGCTAAAAAAAAAGAGTTTAAGGTTGGTTTCTTAAAAAAATCTTTCCTAGGAAGTTTCTTACCTTCCCCTTTCCCACTCCCGTCACTAGAAACCTGCCTATACTCAGGACATCCTGCACAGACTGCAGAGCCTGCACCAGCGTAATTCCTTGCCATTAATTTTCTCCCTTGAAGCTATATTCACTAGGACATTAACACTTTACAAATATGCAAATTGATGCACATACATTATTTAAACACACAGTTCCCACAACTATTCAAATACTCCGACTCTGAGACAGCAAAACCAGCTGCTTCCTGGGTAACTGAAAAGACTACTAATAAATACGGTATGGCTAGGAAATTCTGAATGCCTCTGAAAAATATTTACAACATTTGCCCAAAATTTTCAGAAAATGGCCTGTAGGATAGAATTAAGCAAGTGCAAACAAGATGTGCCAGCTTGCTTTGATGGAGTTTTCTGGAGAGAAACCTGTAAAAATTGTGTATGTAGCTATATGTATACTTCCACTTTAAAAGTGGGGAAACCAATGCACTTTCAAAAAACTCTCTATTTTTCTGAAACACAACAGCTCCACAAGTTACAATGTTGTTCTAAGTACATGAGATTATTGCCAGTGAACTACTAAAATCCAACATAAATCAGGTACTTAGCATAACTAAGATTATTATTTTTTTAATGCTACAACAGCCATTTGACTACTGGGCACAACGAGCTTAGAAATCCAGTCAGTCTATGTATTTAAATTCATAACAAAACTCCTGCAGTGCCTTTATGCTTTGTACAATTCACAGTTAAACATGCTTTTTTTCCATCTTTAAACCCTAGAAATTAAATTTCACGTTGAGAAATCCCTTCTGAAGAATGATCAAATGACTGGATCGAACAAATTGTCGGAGTTCAGCAGTTCTCCAAAGGCATTCACAGAACAAGCTTTTGGCAAGAAACTCCTCTCTTCAGCTAGCTGTTTAGAGACAACACCTGTAGCGCTTCTTGTTCAGGTCCATCTGAAACTAAGGACTATGCTATGCGAATGCCAATCTGCTAATTATCTATCTATAGAGGTACGATCTAACAGTCTGAAAAAAGACTAAAGAGCCAGGAATTTCTGTCTGGCTCTGAAACTCTATTGCTGTATATATTTTCTCTCCCACTGCCTCAGTTTTCCCATCTATAAGACAGGGCCAATACAAAACTGCACGTACACTACTTCATGCGTGCGCTCTCTGAGATGTACCCAACGCCGCATCTGAGAACAGCTGCAATAATATTCTCAATGAAAAGCACTACAGATGTGCAAAAAATAGAACATTTCCATCCTTTGATCGTGTCCTCCATTCTCTGTTAGCAATAAACACGTAATCAAAGTGATGGCTTCAGGAAGGTATTTTACTAGGAAAGAGAGACAAAAAAAAAAATCTAAGTAAGAAAACGAATAATCTCAGCTGAACAACCAAAAACAGCAGTTCTAACGTAAAAAATTTTTGTTACTCATGCATCGTTGTGAGCATTCAGAGTACAACTCCCTGCCCTGTGGCTTGCGACAACTGTCCTTACAATACATATATGAGCTATCGTTTACTCCTAGCCAAACCATGGTGGTATTAGATCATGCCTTGAGAGATGGTAGAAATACAAAATAAAATATTACTACATTTCATACTGGTATAGAGCTTCTCATTCAAAAGCTATCATCTGTTTTGCAAACTGACCCCAGAACAGACCTCTCTCCAGCAGGGCAGGCCAGAGCAGGCCAGTTTTCTGAAAGACAAGACAGAGGAGCAAGCTCCCTTCGCCTGCAGGCATACCTGGCAGTGCAGTGATGAAGTCCCGCTGTAACATGGGTTTGAGGTATGAGTTTATATGTCCATGCTGGTAGTGACACATCTGGGAGATGAGGTGCTCCACAAACTCCACCTGGTCAGACTCAGACCACTGTTCAAAATACTTGACGCAGAGTTCCTTCTCCTTCTCATAGCTTGCAGACAGTTTTCTTTGCTTGGGCACAATCATACTGGAAGTGCCATTGGCAAGTTTTGTCTGTAAATAGGAAGGAGAGAAAAACTCAAACCATATACATGAAAAGGAGCTCAAGCTTTATGATTTTTGGGGAGGAGAAAAGCAGAAGGAAAAAACACTCTAACACATAAAGTTGGCCAAGGCCAAGTATCCCGTTTGGTGCTGCCAGCCAGAGGGCAGCCACGGCGAGCTGTAACCCTGGCAGGACAACACAGTGGCTCATCCCAGAGCTGCACACAAAGGACAGTGGTTAGATGGGAAACCGTGAGTGGCAATCTAACACAAACACAATGTTATTTACATCTTGCAGTCAGTAAAATGCATTTAGATTCCTCATCTATAGTTACCAGTTACTTCAGTGCACCAACAGAAACTGCATTTCTATTCTGCTTTTTTTCTAAAGAATGGACTGCTGCTAAAATTCATAGGAAATAGATGAAATGGATGAGGAAAAAAAATTATGGTACTGCTTTTGAGTATAAAATTATACCTTGCGAGCAAAGCCAGCTAAAACGTACCGTGATATTTGGTACATACTTCTTTCACAGAATAAGAGATTTTCAACTTTCTGAGCACTTGTCAGAAGGACTCATCTCAAAGAAGAGTTTCAGGGACAAAACACTGACATCTCAATTTACTACTTGGTAGCAAGATACAATTTCTGCTTTCTAAAAGATTTAACTGGAAGAAAAGTGCACATTTTGCATTGCAAGGATATCCTTTGTCCAAGTGAGATTAACTGTCTGCTGGGAAATTATTTTTTTCCCATACTGATCAAATAGTATGTATTAAATGCTGAAAACGTGTGATTTTCCCTCCTTCATTGCCATGGTTTAACACCAGACAGCATTATAACAACAGTCAATATTATTACATCATTTTTATTTACAAAATACAAATACTCTATTAATTACCAAGTAATTACAGATATCAGAATATATAAAACAATGATGTAGGGATTCCATATTTCTTTTCTAAGATGGTAATTCCAGGCATAAGCCTCACCAGGAAACTTTCTCGACTTTAAGGGAAAAAAAGTAGTAC